CAGATTGTCGTGGAGAGAAGCAACGCTGACGGATAAGTTTCGAAAGTGAATCCCTTTGAGTTTGTTGTGTACTCTTGATTTCTTAGAGGACATTGTGCTGCTACATATCAAGCAACACAATATAATAATAGTGATTACCACAATTTTGAATTGATCATAAAATGTTAATTCTTGCGTATACGCGTGCGTTTTTCCTTTTCGGGATATACCATGCTGTGAATAGTACACACATGGCTGTAGTAGACTCAAATAAAAGTCTTGAATCTGATAAATGATTTTTTGTATGTCCACATCCTGTTTATAATGATTTTTTTGGTGTGGTAATCTGTTATGTCTGTGAATGATGCATATTTCATACACTGTTGATGGCTTAGTGTATATTATCTTTCCTTGGATGTTGTACACCCTTTGAAAGTCAGAAAAATATGCTGAACACATGAATGTGGATGAATGGGACACTCATGGTTTCATTGTAAGTTCTATGTTGTTTCCATGTGTAACTTATGTTTACTAGCATTGGGTATTTTTCTGATCTATGAAAATTCTTGATCCATTATGAATATATGTTTTGGTTGAGATCAACATAAACAATTTTATGGTTCTATATGTGCTGATATATTTGTAAGATAATTGTAATGCAATAATTTTTTTGCTACTATGGTCATGATCCATACGATTACTCTGTCACAGGAACTTATTGGATGTCAGACAATATAGGTGATTAGTGCCTCTTAATACACCACCACATTTATCATGTTATTTATTCTGTAAAGTGTATTTTTATACCAATGAATTTGGTCCTGAGACAAGGTTTATCATTACTGTAATGTTAAATGTCATTGAAAAACTCTGTACAGACATATTTTCTGTATATTATTTCTGCATAGAAGTGAAATATGTAGTGATACTTATCACTAACCATACGACAAGTTATGGACTATATATCTATCAGCTTCTGAGATGGTCATTTTTTATGTCAAGTGTTCATCGTGTTTTTTATGTTTAAGGCAGTATTGATGCTATCACGAATTCGAACATTTACAGTAGCAACAGTCAATTGGTGTTTCCTACATACAATAGTAGATTGATCAAGTACAATACTACCCGTGCATGCTGACTGTCTTCTACTCTTATCATCCTTTAAATTGTTGTGTGTTCTTAGTGTGAACTCCTGGGCTATTAAACTCCCATCACCCTCACAGATTACATCATCCAAGAACTTGTGAAGACTGATGTTCACAGATTAATAGACTGATCTTTATTAACTTGTTTCTGAAATTTATGATAATGTTGAGCTTAGCATATGTATCTCACATGTCATGCACTTGTAAGGGACACCAATGAAATGGTGGAATTAAGATGTTGGGTTTATGTATTGCAAAGGGTCTAAAAAAATAGGATTATAAAATATGACCCCTTTTGTATACGATGCTGCATTATGATGAATCCATATACGAATAACTTTGTACATGATACATGGGACATGAATCAAACACAATATAGTTGAAGGAGATCTTTCATACTGCCTACATCCTTTTCTCCTATAAATTCCAGTTTTCATCATGTCCATAAACTCCTAATAACTGATGCGAACATCCTGTGAAAGGGATTAAAAAAATGGGGAAAATGAGTTCATGATGAGCACATGGAATAATACCTTCAAAATGGTTAAGTTCCATGACCAAGAGAATTAAGCTAATTACATTTCCTTAATAACTAGAGCACTTGAAAAGAATCAGATCCAGAACTAAACATATGTAACGCTGCTAAGCCAAAGTATTTTCTGAAGAGTAAGAAAATCTTGTATTGATGGCTCGCTCATCTATAGTCCCAGGCACAGCAACATTGATAAGTTTACTGCATTAAAATCATGTATGCACATAACTAAAATGCAAAAATCAAAATTTTATAAAATTTATACGTTGGTGTGGTTTGATATGGACATTGGCAAATATCCAAGGCACAATCATAAGGTTGTTCACGGGTAAAGGTAAAGGGTAGGTCAACCAAAATTTTTTAAAGACATGGACATTTTCGTAATTGCAACTTATTTTCCCATCTATATTTTACCTACACCCAAACATAGACTTTATAAAAGTTACCTAATTTCCCCATCAAAATTTTATCCAACCAAACAACTTTTTTCACATTTTCCTACCAAACTCACATTCCAACCATTTCCCTAGTAATCACATTTCCCTATTATTCATAAAATTTTATCCTCAACCAAACGCCCCCTAGCTGTTTTTATTCTTATCAAACATTCTATTTAATTTAGCCATGTTTGTTTTGTGAAATATTAATCTTATCTAATATATTATTAAATACAGATTATTTTTTAGAGCTAAGTACTTCTTTTTCTGAAAATATAGAAAACATATCTCATCTTAAAATTTCAAATTAAAGTATTCAATAAAACAACACGCTTATGCTTAGTCCTAGGTCTCAAATCAGAATTATTGTATTTCTGAAACTAATAATTACACAAATATAAATAATAAGTTAAATATTATAAAATTTTCAATTATATATGTCAACAAGCTAACTTGTTAAGTCAAATAAAACTTTCATCTGATTACAAATCAATCTACAAGTTTTTGATGCACCAGTATCAATTGAGTAACAAGTTTAATTACAAAAAAGATCAACGACTCTGATTTGTAAGCATGTGACACTATTGATCTTTCTTGATCTAACGACTCTCAGATGAGGTGTCAAAGGATCTTACCTCATATATATATATTGAATTTAATTGGCTTATTTGCTAATAATTAAAATGATTGAATTATTATTCACCAAAAAAAAAATGATTGAATTATTTTGACTAAAAAGTGTTGTGTTCAAATTTTTATTGTGATTATTCATTAGCGAGTTATATATATATATATATGGGATAGGATAAACTTACACCGGTGTAAGAATAATAAATCTTACACCAAATCTTAACCGTTGATTTCTGTGCATCTAACTGTTGAGATTTACTGGGAATTGAAAATTAATTAATGAGTGAGACCTAATAAATCTTAACCGTTAGATGCAAAAAATCAAGGGTTAAGATCTAGTGTAAGACTTATTATTCTTACACTGGTGTAAGATGATCCTGCCCCATATATATATATATATATATAAAGAGAGAGAGAGAGACAGAGGGAGGGAGAGAGAGAGATTATTTGACTCCAGAAGACTTATAACTCTTACTCTTCATCTCAATCCTTGATTTTCGTCCATCCAACGATTATAGTTTAGGAAGTCATATTAATTAATTAATTATTAATTACATTACAAATTATAATAGTTGATTTTCGTCCATCAACAGCTAAGATGATGAGTAACACTTAAAAGTCTTACTCTGGAGTCAAAATAACCCTATATAAAGGGATCACTATAAACTTTCATTGAGACTTATGCATAGTGCATTTCCCCTAAACTATCATATAAAAAAAATTATTGTATTTATGACAAGCAAGTAGAACTAATGTTAGTCCATGTCTAAACCAATTTAATTACTAAGTAATTTCTTTTTTCCTTATTGTCGAATTTCAATTCTTTTAAATATTTATTAGATAAAATTTAATTGATTCTTGCTGAACACTTTTATTTTAAATAAACAAATATTTACTACTTATAAAATATATATATTTTTCTTGCTGAACACTTTTAAATTATTTATAAAATCTATAGTTTAAATTCTTGCTGAACACTTTTACTTTACTTGGAAGTTGAGTTTGTAAATTAGTAATATATTTTTATAATTTTATCTGATATCGCAATGAGTCATCAATGACACCAAATAAAAAAAGAAATGGTGTCATATATCAGTAAAACATTCTTGAATGAAATTTTACCGGTAAGATATAGTATAGTTTGTAAGTTTGTTAAAAAAAAAAAAAATCAATATAACTCTTCTCTTAACAAATAATCCAGATCGTTTAAAATCTGTGACCTGTAATTGAACTATAAATCACATTACCTAACATGGAAACAGGCTTACACTCTCAAGTCTCAACTATCAATCTTGATAGTTATTCCACTTAAGGACTCAAATTCTTTAATGATCAATATTGATTGCAATTATTATTATTGTAACGACTGGCAACTTGCAAGGATCAATAACTGTCTCCACACATTAACACGAGACTTTTCAGCGTGTTATAACTGTCTCCACACATTAATACGAGACTTTTCAGCGTGTTTTATCGTCATTTGCACACTTCTCGAGAAAACTTCTCAGAGGTCATCCATCACAGAATTGCCCCAAGTCAAGCACGCTTAACTATGGAGTTCTTCCGTTCCGGATTACCAAAAAGTAGATATATCTTGTTAGTATAGGTAGTATCAATTAATTCTTATAAGCTATTCCCAATAGTACAGTCCCATACCAGCACAGTTTCTGGAATCCCTCTCTTTCGGGTGTTGATTTGATTCATTCATGTACCCCGTAGCTAGAAGCCTGCCAGGAGCCACTCCTTGTCCATGCCTTTTCGCACCGGCGATCACTCTCCGCCCTCGTCAGGCCCCAGGATGTTACAATTATTATTATTTATAAATCTTTTTTTGTTGAAAAAATAAAACCTTTATATCATGATATGGATTTGGTTAAAAAGAAAGTCTTAAGATAAAATCAAGCCAGTTTTCGTAGTTTTTTATTTTGTTTTATACTTTGACGAGACACAGATTTAATTTCGATTTGGCTGAATGGTGAACAGTGAAACTTAAAATACAATGATAGCAGTTGACTCTCTCTTTGTCTATTCTAAAACAGCTCCTACCAGCCATTATTTATTCTCTTGTACCTATCTGAATTTTCGTTCATATTTTATGTCATAAACTAATGCATAAACTCTTACAGGCTGATGCAAATCTCAACCATTTCAACACGCGTTTTGAAGGCCCTTATCATTGAACATTTTTCCTCACACTTGCTATAGCTTCCGTGTCCCCTGCACATTTTCTGAGTCTTCAACATTCCATTTGAAAAAAAGACTTTTGTGTTCACCACCATGGGACAAGAAACCAGAAGGCTCTCAGATGAGTACGATGTTTCAGACATCCTAGGAAGAGGTGGATTCTCTGTTGTGAGAAAAGGGACCAAAAAATCAAGCAGTGAGAAAACCCATGTAGCAATCAAAACACTTAGAAGGTTAGGTTCCTCAAATCCTTCTGGCTTACCAAGAACAAAGGGTAGTGAGAATACCACAGCATCTGTCATGGGGTTCCCCACATGGAGACAAGTTTCAGTCTCAGATGCCTTACTCACCAATGAGATTCTAGTCATGAGAAGGATAGTGGAAAATGTTTCACCACATCCAAATGTGATTGACCTCTATGATGTGTATGAGGACTCAAATGGGGTTCATCTTGTGCTGGAGCTATGTTCTGGTGGGGAATTATTTGATAGAATTGTTGCACAAGATAGGTACTCAGAAACTGAAGCTGCTGGAGTGGTTCGCCAGATTGCAGCAGGATTAGAAGCTATTCACAGAGCTAACATTGTCCATAGAGACTTGAAGCCTGAGAATTGCTTATTCTTAGACATCAGGAAGGAGTCTCCTCTTAAGATCATGGACTTTGGGTTGAGTTCTGTTGAAGAATTTACTGACCCAGTTGTTGGTTTGTTTGGATCTATTGATTATGTTTCACCAGAGGCTCTTTCTCAAGGAAAGATAACTACTAAGAGTGACATGTGGTCTTTGGGAGTAATCCTATATATCTTACTCTCTGGGTATGTTATTTTTCTTTCACATGTTTAGATTGTCTCAGTCCTTATCCACCCTTGTGCTTACTGTTGCAAAAATGGATGACAATTAGGGAAAGTCATCATTCTTGATCACATGAAAATAAACATCTACCATAAGAGATGAATTTATTTTGCGTATTGTTTCACTCTACATCTTTCCTTTTAGGCAAATCAATGGATGAAAGCCCTTATTATGTTTCTCTTAATGTACTGAAATTAACCCCATATTATCCTCCTATAATACTTTTGCAGGTATCCACCTTTCATTGCTCAGTCTAATCGCCAAAAACAACAAATGATAATGAATGTAAGCCTTCGTCTCCCATAGATTGAACTTGTGATTCTTCAAAGAAAGAATCAGTAATATAGGCAGAATAAATGAATCAAGATGTGACATATGCTAAAATACATTATCCATTTTTACTGTACTTCCTGTGTTTTCTCGTTTATACTAGAGTGTGAAAGTAAAAAGGTTTCTCTTTTCTCATGTCACATGAGATATCATATCATGTGCCAGATCCAATGAGCTGAACGGAGGTGTAGTGTTGCATTGTTACTTGCAAGACTATCATTACATTTTTTATTTTATTTTTTGACATCATGTTACATCTTCCCTCCATTTCATTCTGTAATGCTTTTCCTTACCAAGTAAAATACTATTGAACAGGGGAATTTCAGCTTCTATGAGAAAACTTGGAAGGGCATTTCCAATTCAGCGAAGCAATTGATTTCAAGTCTTCTGACTGTTGATCCTAGTAGGAGACCTAGTGCTCAAGAGGTATTGTGTACTCTTTTACCTACACCATTAATTGGAACGAGGCATATATTTTTTTACAAATAGAATGAGGCTTATCTACTATGAAAGCAGTCCTATAAAAATAGAAAATTGCCACAAAATCCCCTTATGTACCCTGTGTGGATTTAGATTAATTTATGAAAAAAGTATTTCTCCTTTTAAATGACACAACTTGTGTCATTTCACTCTCACAAAGTGAGATCCATACTTTTATTTTTTTTGTCCACTCTCTCTTCTCTATAATCTATCTCTTTTTCTCACTTAAAATGACACAACTTTATATACTTTTAAGAGTAAACACCATTTTTGGTCCCTAACAAAAAACACAGTCCCCACTTTAGTCCCTTACAAAAATAAACTAATCAGTTAGTCCCCAACAAATTCAAAGTGGACCCATTTTAGTACTTTTGAGGGACTAAATGGGTCTTTTTTGAATTTGTAAGGGACCAAGAATTCAACTAAATGGGTCCACTTTGAATTTGTTAGGGACTATCTGACTAATTTATTTTTGCTATGGACTAAAGTGGGGACCGTGTTTTTTGTTAGGGACCAAAAAGGATATTTACTCTACTTTTAAATGACACATATTTTTTCCTTAATTTATTATTTAGTTAAAATTATTATAATTAAAATATTTTTAAGGGGTTTAATGGGGAGTATTTTTTTAAGGGGATTTAAGAAAAAAAGTAAAAAATGGTACAATCTTTTGCAGAACAAAGAAAGTGAGCCTTGAGCACTGAGCAGCAGTAAAATTATTCCTTTCTAATCGGTTTCTTTGAAAATATACAAAGAAAAGACCATATGAAATGGACTCTCACCCCTATCCTCATAAAGTAAAGAAGCCTTGTGCTCCTTTCAATATGCTGTTGGGAAAAAAAAAAATCATGACTAACAATCATTTTGCAAATCCGCAAAGTAGTAATGCCTCAAAGTTTGTATCTCAAGTTCAATGTTAATATAACATTTTGCATCATATTATTTTCAAGCAGAAAGTAGTTTCGAGATATTTTATAAATATTGTTAAAGAGAATAAGTACCCCTCATTCACACGTTCTGTTCTATGACTTGGAACAGCTTCTGAGTCATCCATGGGTCGTAGGTGACAAAGCCAAGGATGATGCAATGGACCCTGAGATTGTCTCAAGGTTGCAGAGCTTCAATGCAAGACGCAAACTACGTGCAGCTGCAATTGCTAGCGTTTGGAGCACCACAATCTTCCTGAGAACAAAAAAACTGAGATCATTGGTAGGAACATACGATCTCACAGAAGCGGAAATTGAAAATCTCAGGATACATTTCAAGAAAATGTAAGTACTTAAAAGTCACAACTGATCACAGGAACCAAATATTTCTATATTGCACTAGTCTTTTGACAGTTTTAACTGATAACAAAAAAAATGCTCTTGGCTGTTAAAAGATGTGCAAATGGAGACAATGCCACTCTCTCTCAGTTTGAAGAGGTGCTGAAAGCAATAAATATGCCATCATTGATCCCTCTAGCACCACGTATATTTGACTTGTTTGACAACAACCGTGATGGAACTGTTGACATGCGAGAGATTCTATGTGGATTTTCTAGTTTAAAAAATTCCAAAGGTGATGATGCTCTTCGTTTGTGCTTCCAGGTGAGTTTTTTATAAGCTTATATAGTGAACCTTTACACACAAACAAGAATGCACATCTATAGTAGTGAGAGTTTATAAAGTGTTATATTCATAAATTTGAATTTGTGAAGCAAAAAAGATATCTAATATATGATTAAAGATGTAAATGCATCTGTAAAGAATCAATTCAACCCAAAAGCTTAAGCTGTTGGTTGAGGCGCCACTGGGCTTGAAGGGCGGACAATACCAATTCAACCCAAAAACTTAAGCTGTTGAATGAGGCAACATTAATGGTTTTATATATCTCAACAGGATCCTTACGTGACATGAGGTCATGTGCGAGGATCTCAATCACTCATATACAAATAAATAGTTGGGATCATCTTAATTGACCGCATGCCACATGAGAGGATTCATTCCCGACTAAAGATAATAGATTACATATTTGGGGAAAGGATTTAACTTACACCAACTACACTGACAAAGATTTTGTAGTTAATGGAAAAGAAAAAAAGAAAATGTGACTAAATTATGACCGTCACAATTTTCACCACCCTCTCATGCTATCAACAACTGTACAAGACAAAGAAAAGAAACAACTGAAAACCCTTTATACACTACAAAGAAAAAAGAGTTCAGCATGATGAGCTAATTTGCCTTTCTGGTTTTCTTGACCAACAGATGTATGACACGGATCGATCTGGTTGCATCACCAAGGAAGAAGTAGCATCCATGCTCAGAGTAATGCACCTACCTTTCAACTATTAGTCTTATCTTGTGACTTTCATCTTTTAACACAAGTAAATTCACTGAACAGGCTTTGCCAGATGACTGTCTTCCAGTTGATATCACTGAACCAGGAAAATTGGATGAGATATTTGACAGAATGGATGCCAACAGTGATGGAAAAGTTACCTTTGATGAATTCAAAGCTGCTATGCAGAGAGATAGCTCTCTCCAAGACATGGTCCTCTCTTCTCTTCGCCCACAATAGTTTTCCATTCATGGTGTTATGGTCTTTTAATATTTGAGTACTTTTTTTTTTGTTTTGTTTTTTGTTTTCTTCTCATTTGGGGCCATCCTTTTTTGTGACGTATTCACAGTAGAGGGAAAAAGAGTAATGGAATACTAAACAAGGTGAAATTGTGCCATCTAATTTTGCTATGACAACTAGAAACTTTTACATTCTCATGTCAAACTACAGCTAGATACCCAAGTCTTGAAAACTATCATTTGAGTAGCAGAAAGCTAACATGTTCATCTTAAATTCAGTTGATGCAGCAAAAGTAGAGACTAAAGATATGTGCCCAAATATATTTACACTACTCTAACCTTCATGATTATTCCACACTAAGGTGTAAAAGAATGAGATCTTATCATGCATATGAATTTTTCTTGGACTTCCTTTTTTTTTTTTTGAGATATTTCAATCGATTCATCGCTTCGTGACTAGTTTGATTCGGAACAAGTTCCGGAATTAAGATTTTAAATCCCTCCCAAAGATAATACTGAGGAGAATCGAACACATGCTCTCGGACTTCCCTATTGTTGAATTCAAAAGAAGTATGATTCAAACAAACAAATTCTTCCGAATTTATTTATGATTTATACATTTGTCTACGGTAAGCATTAACCAATTTATATACAACCAAAAACAAGTATGTGGGCTCATTCAATTTTGCTCAAGTATGGGAACCAAAGTTTGGTAGAATTTGCAGGAGTTAACCACTTTTAATAAAAGAATTTTAGTAAAATGTCTTCTTCAACCTCTCAACGCATCATTTTTTGGATCATCAAGTAAGATCACGATTAGTGTGCACCGATCAAGAACCAGAAATTTATACAGGGGAGAAAAAATAGCTCTTGTTACAGGCCTGAATATATTGTTGACCCCATATTGCACGATTAGTAATACATCTTGATTATCTCCACCTCAATTTACAAGTCCATTATTGTCCTAGTAAGATGATGCTCCGGTATGCACTGATCATCTTGATCATCCAACAACGTAGGAGTTATAGATATATTGTTCATTCTAGCTCACTGGAAATCTTTTTGTGAACTATTTCACCAAAAATCTAGGTGAACTTTTAAATTATTTGATTTGGTTGAAGCTTCAATTTATAACGGACCATTTTTTTGGGTCATTTTTATTCGTGGTTCTTCAGTAACTTTGGAATATATATAATGTATGCAAATAACTTTCTTATTTTGTACATTCTATAAAATGCATTACAAAGCTTCCCTGAGATACATCAGTGAAAGTTTTCACTATAAGCAACGCCAACATATATTTGGGCCAAAAACCTTGAACGAGACAACCCATAATTTGTAACATGCACAATTCCATTAATTTGAGATTTGAAACTCAAATACTTAATTTATAGAGTTTAATTTTGATGTACTCTAAATGTAAAAGAAAAAAAATAACTATACTGTCATCCAATTATGTATAGTTACATTATTTAATGAGCATGAGATGTCCGATTGTTTAAATGATATGGTAATACATCATTTGATGATAGTGTAACATTTTTTTTTTCACTGAGAATGCATTCAAATTAATTTTTAGTTCATTTATTCTTAATTATCTCAACATTTATGTAATCTAACGATTTAAATAAAACCCAGAAAAGGTGATTCAATTGGTCAAGTTGCTAAATGTGACGGAATGGTCAATGAGCCCCACTTAGCTCTTATGCTCATTTTAATCTAACGATTTAAATGCATGATAAAGTCACCGATTTTGATCAGGTTTGGTTGGATTTATCCGAGTTTGATCAGGTTTGACCTGATCCGATGCATGACTAGTTTAATATTTAACCCGAACCGATCCTGTTATGGACCCATATGATGGGCCCATTAAGTAGTAAGCCCAACAAGGGGCAATCCAAGATATGGATTGATGTTAATCAAATCCTACTAATCTTAATGTGTCAGCACAGCTATCCACTTTATGTGTCAGCATAGCTATCCAAACTATCTACAGGTAACCTCTATAAATACCAGGGCAAACCCTAAAGATACACACATTCTCTCTCTCATTGTTATGCTGTCACTGCGCGCATACACACCCCATTGGCTAACGCCATTATAGTATTCTGTGCACAGTGATCTCCTTGACTCAAGGGTATCTCCCTCATAGATACCTTGGAGAGGGCATCAGATCCAATATTAACGTACTAGCCTGACTGGGCTAGACATCTCTGTCTCAAGGACAGAACATTGGTGCCGTCTGTGGGAAATTCTTTTCTCTGAATTTGAATATGAAGTTCCCACCAAATCTGACAAGGGATGGCAATCCAGACGAGGAGCAGTAGCCAGCAGCCACCCCCAAACCAAAATCAGCCGTTGGATCCAGTCATTGAGGAGATAAATCAGCCTCATAATCAGATCGGAAACAACGTGGATTACGACCATGTCCAGGTCGAAGACGATGTTTCAGACACCGCTTCAACGCCGGCACCCCAAAATGGGGGAGCGGCAGCGAACGTGGCTCCAATAAGGAGCAACCCTGCCCAGCATCCTGGCGATCTGGCTGCGCGCGTCGCTCAATCGGCCGATCCGGATACTCGGTTGGCCAACAACGCGTTAAACGCAATTATGGAACGAATAGTAGCGCTGGAAACCCGTACTAACTTGCAACGGCAACAAGATTTCAGGGCTATTCGAGAGGAAAATAACAGAGGGATGCAAGACCAGGAGCGGCGATTAACACGGCGGACTGCGCCAGGAATGACCAATTTCGAAGGCCAGCCTGCCTATGGCCGAGAAGGACCTAGAAACCCGGCTCAATCATACCAAGTTCCTCATGCAGAAAACCCCGGTAACCTGGTAAACCAGGGGCACCAGGTCACTGATGGCCAAGATGCACAAAATCATCAAGCACATGCTGACGGTCAGGAGGACCGGGTTAGAGCTCAGTATCAACAGGATCTTCAAAACATCCGAGGACGAGTGGAACCTGGCGGATATAGGAGGAAGTACAGCAGGGGGGAGTATAATAATAGCCCATTCACTACTGAAATATTAAACGTTGTCTTCCCAGAGGACTTTGACTCGGCACGTTTACCGAAATATGATGGGAGCCAAGATCCGCAGGTGCACATAGATGCCTTTGACACAGACATGTATATTCGGGGAATTGATGAACCTCTCATATCCCGAATATTTGCTGTAACATTGACGAGGGCAGCACATGCATGGTTTTCAACCTTGCCTGCTAATTCCATCGGATCCTTTGAGGAGTTCGGACAGAAGTTCCTGTTGAACTTTGCAACCAGCAAGAAGCATCCAAAGTCCGAGTTCGCTCTTGGAAAGATACGACAGCAACCTGGAGAAACCCTCCAAAAATACCTTAACCGGTTCAAGGACACTGCACCGCAGGTCCCAGGGTTGCAAGAGAATGTCCACGTCCATCTCATTGTTGCAAGTCTGGATGGTGGATCCAGACTCTCCAAGTCTGTCTATAAGGACCCAGTAAAGACATTGGAGGAGTTTAGAACTCGCTCGAAGAAATACCTTGAACTAGAGCAAATGGAGATTGCAAATGCGCAATCTGATGAAGTCAACAGAACAAGCCTGAGAAGGAGGAGTCCACCCCCGAAGGGAAAAGAACGAGTTGACAGCAAGAAGAAGGATCAGCGCCAACGAATCCCGGACATGAGAGAACGCATTGGAAGGTACGATAAGTATACACCTTTGAATGCGTCGCGTTCTCAAATCTGGAGAGAAGTAGCCACGACGGAGATGAAAAAGGTGGAGAGACCTCGTCCCATATTTGACAGAGGAGATTTGGACAGGTGGCTTCAATACTCAAGAGGGGGGTGAATTGAGTTTTACAAAATCTTTTCGCAAAGTACCTCCTTTGATGTTTTAAAGACTATTTCTTCAATAAAGTGATTTAATAAGGAAATGTCTAATTGTAAAAGCAAGTGTAATGATCAACAAAGTAAGCAAGCGAATATATAAAGACAATCTAAGATGCAATTTTAATACTTAAATAAAGAGATTAATGTTTGAGAAATTGCAAACTAGATGTATCCTGGTTCGGTCACTACCACCGTGACCTACGTCCAGACTGAAGCCGCTCGATCAATTCTTTTCACTAACTATCAAGCTTGAGGGTGCTTGACAAACCACTACAACTTTTCAAGACTTCGGGCTCTTGATGCCTTACACTTTTTCACTCCAAATTTTCTTAGGAATTTGGTAACCTCTCAAATATAGGGTTCACTCCCCTCTCAAATCAAGAAGTAATATTGAGGTGATTAGAAGTGACTAAGTACTCTCAAAGTACAGATTGAACAAATTGAAGAACTAAGAGATGTATAACTTCAAAGGAAAGATGAGCTCAAGTGTATGCAATGATTAAAGTAAGTAATTTATGAGCAATAAAAGGCTAGTAAGAGTAATAAAGCTTCAATAAATGTTATAGGGTCGTGTACTGTTCATCCCAACTGATGTGGGTATTTATAATGACACCTCCTATGAAAACTAGTCGTTTCTAGCCGTTTATAGCCGTTGTAATCCGTACATATCCGGATATTTGTCGGGCTCATATCCGGATATTGTATATCCAGATATTCTTTGTTACATATCCGGATATCTGATATCCGGATATTCAAAGTGGAATATCCGGATATTTCATAGCAGCAGCCTTTTTGTACGAGTTCTGAGTTTCTACTCTTTCCAAATGGTTTTTATGACGTGCAATGCATGTTATTGGTTATGGAAATTATCTAGAAAAGTTTGTATCACATAGGTACTTCTTCCAAACCAAAATTGTACATATGAAACCATTTGTCTTGACTTTTCTTTTTTTAAGGATGCATGCTTTTGAAATATATGATTGATGAATGACCTTGAGCTCATGCAATGCTTTGTATCTATACATCTTTACATATTTATCCTAAGTCCTAAATGAATATACCATTTGAGATTCTGGACTTGGATTGATGCTTGAGACTTGATGCATACTTTCACATTTGCTTT